TTAACTTCAAGAACAATTAAACACATAAAAGACTTACCTCAGCAACACAATTGAAAAAGATTGTGTAGCAGCGGCTGTATTGCATTTGATTTATATTGTGTTTGGTAATGAGTCTTCAAACTACAGGAAATGTAATCAATGTGAATTAAAAGGTTAATTATACCGTTTAACTATCGGATTTCTTTATTTTTTGGTGATAAAAGAGGAGAACAAATGCAATTCTGAATTAATCAAGGCTCTGATTCACTGGATCTGCTACGAATACATCACAAGGATTTGACTTAGATCAGGGTTGGGGATCCGTACAGGACACAAAAAGGAAAGAAGGGGATAAAAAAAAAGACAGGGGTGATCTAAGCGAAGGAAATTGGTTTAGAATGATTTGGTCTTACCCTGCTACGAACTGTTCGTCAGTTAGTGGAGATTGTTCTCTGAAATGGGAATTGGGCCATCAAAAAGAAGAAAAAAAGCAAACAAAAGGGAAAATGCAACACACAGTTGGGCTGAATGCATAAAATGGACATCAAAACAACCCGAACAAACATGTGACACTGTGATGGGAAAAGGCTGGTCTTTTTCTTCATTCGAGCAAACACCAGTTTACCCTGACCGAACCTTATTTGATTCATGTTGAAACAAGTCAGATAAAGGGATTATTTGGAGATTTTGGAGTGTAGCTGTGTGAGACACATATCCATACACCTGCAGTAGATGGCGGTCAGTCCACAGTTTAGAGAAACAGGCAGGAGTTAGGGCCAGAAAGCAAAGGAATGTATATATTAAATAAATGTTTTTTTAATTATGTGGTTTACGGTAGTGCTGATTATCTAAGAGAATGATGTTAACTTTGCTCGGACATTGATTGAGTATTTCTCTGCTGCTGCTTCTATTGGTTGTTTCTGTTATTTTGACTTTGGTGTTACAAAAAATGTAGTCACCTCATGTCACACAATAACACAAACCAATGAAGGCATCTGTAGACTAAAAAATGTCTGTGATCTGAAAGGTAAAATAGTTTTAAATACTTTTTCCAATGAAGGAGGCGGCTAGGGGAGAGCATAGATAGTGGCTTCAGTTTTCCGTCTGATGGTAAGGTAAAGTGTGGCAATATTTCTTAAAAAGCATCTTTTCAAACTGAGTTTTTACGTGGCTTAAATATGCTGCAAGTCCACAGCAGTTTAACGCATTGCTTACGAGCTGGTTTCTCCAAACTGGGGGCCGGCCAACCGCCATCTACTGACGATATACACTGACTAATAGAAAAGTAGCTCATACAACCCCCACTTTAGAATATCCAACTATCCTTTTAATAGATAAGTGATCTTTAAAGCCAAATAAAAATGTTCATGAAGACACCCAAACTGTAAACATTCCTCAGAAAGATAAACTAGCGCAAGCAGTGACTTATAACCAGCCACATATATAATGAACACCACTTATACTGGTCTTTGTAAAGCTGCTAGTGTATGACTTTAAACTGATACGGCCGGGTCTAACATAATGTGTTCATAAATCTACTGTATCAGCTTAACTCTGGTTCCAAATGGCTGCTAATAATAATTTAAAGTCAAATAAGTTTATAAGATTTGTTTGTGCTACTTTAATTTTCTCCTCCCAGTATAAATTATTTACCTATTATGACCCTTGAATCGATTGAGTATAATACTCACTCAAGGTCATTAAGGTCAAATATTTTGTAAATGTAACTCGTATAAAACCTGTTCTTCATTAGGGAAAACTGAGCCCAAGAAAGAAAATGTCGGACCGTTTTATCTCGTCATGGTCAGTGAGCTGAATTAATAAAGCATAATTGTAATTATCTGCTTCTAACACCCTGTGACCAAAGTAACTTCTGCCAACCAATGAGGGGCCAGCATTACCATCCATTAAGTAAAAGCATGACGAAAACTAAATGCTGAATAAAACCGTCAGTACTAAAAGCACAGCCGTGAATCGTGAAAAGCTCAGAGGACAAGTCTAACACCTAACCTGAATCTTATATTTCTATATGTGTAACACAGCCAGCTGGTGTCCAACACACTGCGGGAAATATTTAACCATATCTCACTCTTCTCTCACTCTTTTCTGTTATGTCAAATTATTCAGTTTTAACACTTAAATGTTCATCGTCTAATTGTGGCTATATAACAGAGTCCTTTGCATACTTTAAATAATTTAATCTCATAACTTTAATTTGTTTTCACTTTATAATTTCCTTCTTAACATTAACCACAGTGGAATACATGACTTAGCTGTCGACTGATCTGAACATGGATCAACCTGACTTGAGTTGTCCTCTTCTTTTCCTCAGTGGATAAAAAAAGTCAACCCTTTATCTTTTATTTCACAAATAAAAAATGGATAAGATGAATACAATTGGATTCATCAATACACTGTATTAGTTTCTTTATTCATCTTAAGTGAAGGTTTACAGGCTTGTGTTTATTACCAGTACAGATAAGTGAGCCTATTTAAACCGCAGCTGGTGATATGAAACATTTCAACGGACATTTAGAAATATTGTGAGCATATTTTGCAGTACCAGCCATAAAGCTTTTTTTTTATTAAAAAAGCTTTATGAAACTCAATTCCATACATGTAAATGATTATGGGGCTGCAAGGCCTTAATTCCTCTTGAAAACTATGACAACTTTCTTGAACATATAAAATAAGATCCAATGCAAAATGGAGGAAAGAACTAATGACATTTGGTGTGAATGTGGATCTTCGAATGGGTTTTGTGTCCACCTACAGTCATGTTCTTAATAATGCATTAAAAAAAGACCTGTAATATTAAATGAAGACCGATAAAATACCTTGAATCACCATCCTGATCATCAAGACCTTCCCCGGTTGTGTTCAGAGCATATGGACTTCGCTGTTTTGCTTGTGGAAATAAATTATATTATATTAGTTCACAAGATTATTAAAGCCAATTAGAAATACATGGGTGGAGATTAAATAACAATGCTATAGTTCTATAGAGCCCTAAAAACAAGATGTTTAAATAACAAAGCTATAGTTCTTGGTTGAGTCTTTCTTTCTGTTGTTATGTGTGACCACTTGGGTTCTTTGCTTAAGCAGTTTTCCAGTATTTACGTAATCATTTAGGAACTACCCCAAGGTTTCCATATGTTGCCGTGAAAGCTTTGATATGAAAGTTTCACATAAAAGTCAGATCTCAGACTCATCAGGGTGTGGGCAAACTAACAAGTACTACAAAATGACACTCAATTGGAGCAAATAGGTAAATTACAGTTTACTAAGCACAAAAAAGTACAACAACAAATGCATAACAGACAAAGTTGTCATTGCGGGCCATGACATCCCTTCCTGAAATAAATTACAGTCACACTTTTCTTAGTGTTAGCATTACAGATAAAATATGTTGCAAGGCTGATTTTATGTTGGGGGGAAATTGTAACGTTGACAATGCTTTTTAAATGTGTCATTATGTGAAAGTGAGACCTCAAGCAGAGTTTATTTCTTAAATAAAGTATTTAGGAGATGAACTAAGGAATCCTGGTTAATGTTAACCTAGCTTGTGCTACACCTACCTGTCAGAGATGACGGACATTCAGCCACTCTTTGGAAGGGATATCGAAAAAGTAGTTTGTTCCCTCTGCTGCCAGAGCTTACCAGTATGACGCTAATAGGGCTGGTTCTGTCGCCAGATTTGTACACGCTGTTTTGTGACTGACTGTACATGGATTGTGGGTCATCTGGTAAACCGGCTAATGGGTTGAACATAGTGCTAGCATTCTAGCTAACTTCACGTTAGCTGAGAGAATGCAAGCTGTAACCCTAGACCGAGCAGTAACGGTTAGCTGGTTGCAGGTGCATTAATGTCTGCCATACATGAATACTTGAACAAATAATACTTTAACTGGAATTAACTTGAAGGTCTGACACTGTTGTTCTCCCTACCGCACGTCCTGCTGCGTTTGTTTGTGTCACGTTGAAAAATGTCCGGATGGAAATGAGCAAGCGGCCAGAGGATCCCCTCCCATATCTGTCAGGGCTCCCCTAGTCAGTTAGTCTATAACGTAATTATTATTTTAATTATTAACTTTTAATTATGTCAGCTTTAACATTTCTCTAATTTAAAAGTACAAATTCTTCATTAGCATATTTTGAAAAGAATGTATGATATATATGGTTATAAATGCATTAATGTTTGGCTACATCACTTTACTGTAAAAGCTGGAAATGTGAAGCTAAGTTTAATGACTTACATCCTCATATTTATCTCATGATTTGAATCCATATCCATATCATTTAAAGTGCCATAAATAGGCTACAGCAGGACATTTCTTTCAAATTCGTGAATGGTGATATAGTGTCAATTTGAAATCAATTGCAGCAATCATAGTACAGTCTGATCAATGTAGGTTAAATTGAGCTCGAACGAGTGCATGTGTCAGTGGGGATAATGCAAATTGGTTTTACACCACATGAGCAAATAGTTGCATGAAATGGAGTTATGCAGCGGTCAGAGCGTGTGTGCGTCTGAGCGCCCCGGATTTATACTTTCTCGGTGATATGGATCATCATATAATAAAAAACACATCATTTACTTTTTCTTAAACGTATTTCTTGCAGATAAATTAATGTATAACAATGAAACGACCGTTATGTCGAATTGGTTATTCTCCTGAGAAATGATCATTTAAGAAACTGGACACCCATAAGCAGTTAGGCTATTCGTTTTTCATACAGACTATCGTGTTCTTTTGACCGCACTTAAGCAATTTATGTTTTCTTTTGTGTGATCTAGGCCCATATCTTGATATAAACAGATAAACAACCGCCAACATTTTAATATCCTCGGTTTCGGACACAATCTAAGTATTGCAGATGTGTCCTTTCCTTATCAATTTGGCAAAAGCGTAATACTTGGCCAACCCACTCTCTAATTCTATCCAATGATTGAATTGGATTCAAATCGCACATTTTGGGAGGAGTGAAACGGTTCTTTTAAAAGTTGCATCTGCTACAGACCAGCACACGACTTGTGAATCAAATCTAAAGCCGACAAAATGGTCGAATGGACAGACTTCGAGCGCGCCACCATCAAGGACATCTTCTCAAAGCTTGAGTATGATGTGGTGGGCCCTGCAACCCTTGCCAGGTCAGTCACATTTATTTATTTATTTATTGGTAGGCTATTATTTCACGTAAAAGAAATGCACAAAATAATTAATCTGTTTTTTTATTTGTACCCAGGTGTCTGGTCGTCTACCCCTGGACTCAGAGGTATTTCGGCAAGTTTGGAAACCTCTACAACGCCGCTGCGATTGCTGAAAATGCCATGGTTTCCAAACACGGAACAACCATCCTCCACGGTCTAGACCGGGCTGTGAAGAACATGGACGACATCAAGAACACCTACGCCGAACTGAGCGTGCTGCACTCCGAGAAACTGCATGTGGACCCCGACAACTTCCAGGTACCGTTGTGCAACTAATTTAATTATTCATATTCAGAGATGACCAACTTTTCATGTGGCTGATTTTGTCCTGATATTTGCTGTGTTGCAGCTCCTGGCCGACTGCCTGACCATCGTGGTTGCTGGTCGGTTCGGAAACACCTTCACTGGTGAGGTGCAGGCAGCTTTCCAGAAGTTCCTGTCCGTGGTGGTGTCCTCCCTGGGAAGACAGTACCATTAGAGCTGCGATGCAAGACCATCACATGCTGTGCTGGAAAACCTCTGTTTTTTTGTAATGTCTCAAAGGCATAAATAAATAAAACAAGCATAAACAACTTGTATCTTCTCCCTGTTTGTGTTAATGGTCAAACCAGAAACATGTCCATTTTTTGTGTGAAAACCTTTTACATAATGCATGGTGGAATAGGTTTTTTAAATACCCTTAAAGTTCCAATAGCCTTGCAAAAATAAGATCAGTAAAAGTAGGCTACTGCATTTTAATTACTGACTTTAAGTGCATTGGTATCATCAGCTTTACGCACTGACGACATTTTAAATTGTTACATTATGATGTATAATAAGGATATAGTGTATGTGCCAATATCATTATGACATTACATTTTTATATTATTTCTTACTGAAACGTCGTGGTGTAGAATAACCTTAAACGGGACGTCCGCGGGGTCTTAACAAGTATTAAAAGTTGATGAATCAATTTAGCGAAATGAAGGCTATTAAAAAGTATTAAACGGCATTTTCCAAGGTATTACATGTTGGCAGCTTGTTTGTCAATAAGTAGTATTAAATTGTCCAAACGAGCGTTGTATTTCTAAAAGCTTTGCCTGCATGCGAATAATTGCGTTGGCTGGGTGTTAGTGTGATTATTGTAGTTTATTTATGGCATCCCGCTTGGATTTTGACGTCATCTGAACAGGCACATCGCACGCTCCACTGGGAAGCTGATAGCGCGCCCTTAGGCGTCGTTACGGCCTGTTGTTAACAACATCGTCTATGGAATACAAAAGTTTTGCCTT